TTGCATTGGGTAGCAGAGAAAATTGACAAGAATATGGGTCCATAAGAAATTATTTTGCAAGTAATGATTACATGCCACATAAATTCTGCTAAGAGCAATGCTAGATGTACATCGGGTTGTACATCACGGTGTACACCCCCCTCACATGCGTAAGGGGCCCACTCGAATATTTTATTTAAGTGGACCCCTCCATGTGAGGGGATGTAGATCTTGATGTACACTTTTTGATGTATAAGTAGTATTTTTCTAACATTATTGGCTTCATATCTCCCACAACACACTAGATAGCCTAATTAATACCACTACAAACAAATCATGATGCAATATTTGAATCTTTCAATAATTAATAAACATAAAAGAAACATAAAATTTCTAATTAAAAAATAAACCGTATCATTCTCCCTCCTTAAAAAAACACCATTGTCCTTGATGATGAATTTTAAGATGTTTTTTTTTTTTTTGTTCCGATTTATGATTAAATGTAATTTAAGGTTGAGTCTTTCTTGAACATGACGTGGAAGCGAAAATTCAAGAACTTCACCACGGATGGTGATAGTCCAGTCAAGTTCTTCCAACATCTTTGCTGTTAGAGTAAGAAATATATCTCGAGATTAGTCTCTAAATCAAAAGAACACAACCTTCAAAGTATTGTGCCGAGCTTCACTTATTAATTTGACCGAATTGTTGTCCCTATGCAGAATACTATCTTCAGTTTTAATTGTAACAAACTAAACGATATTTTTGACAAATTCTGAATTGGTCACATAAAATATTTTTTCACCATTCAACATATTTTTATAGAATTTTGATAATCCAAATAGGTGAAGGTCTTGAATCCTTTTAACCTTGTATTTAAATAGTCATATTGTCACATACAACACTAATATGCCCATCATCGGGGCATAGTTCAATGGTGCAAAGGATATAAGTGAGGTAATCTCAACTGAGTTGGCAGCCGCAGTGGGAAAATTCGATTCCTACCTCTTACAAGGTATGAAATTGAATTTTTTGTGGACATCAGTATGGTAACTCTTGCACCATGGCCTGCTGAGGCACATCCCTCGATTTACCTCATCCACAATGCTCTAGGGGTGGGGAGCCTCAAGGTTGGGGTTCAACCTTTTTCTAATATACCCAATGGAATTTCGTGAGATTTTAGTTAAATCAGTTTTATTTGATTGGCACTTATAAGGGCACTAGAGAGTAAGCTGAAAAAAAGAGATAAGCATTAAAGAGAGAAATTATAATTTTTGAATTACAATGTGCTCACTTGAGCATCCAGAAGTCACTCTCGTCTCATTACTCGCTCTTGCTATCCAACTTTCTTGATTGCGAATAAGGTCTATTTGGACTTTTGTCTTCCGTCATCTTATAATGGACGGTAAAGATCTATCATACGTAAAGATTAATGAAGAGTCTCTAAAGTATTTTTAAGATATTTACACATGAACCTGATAGAAATGTTCTCTACAATTTTTTTAGACATGTTCTACAAGTTTTGCTACCATGAAGTATTTTAAAGTTGTGGGATTTTCGAAAATAAAAATAAATAAAATTATTACTCAGGAATGTTCTTCATAGTCCCTATTTGTGTCTCATTATTTAAATTTTTTTTTCCCAAACTCATTTTCAATTATATATTATTTAAATAAAATAATTTTACATATAAATTTAAAACATTTTCATATTTTTTAGCAACACATTCTCAAAAAATTCGATACTGCGTTTTCGCGAAGAAATGGGGCTCAACCAAACGTCATAATATTTTAGTTCCATCATGTAAATCCTTCATGTGTGGTATACTATAAATGCAAGCGATTTTTTTTCAAAATATTCTCCACAAAATGCATCAATGCAATTTAATCGAAAGTAGCCGTTTAGAAATATGAAAACAGCTAAGAAATAAGAACACTACGGGCCACGTGCCAAAGCAAATTGCGTCCTGCGTCGTATAATTTCTACTCTGGATTCTCTACAATGATTTTTCCAAATTAGGATTTCGATTATTCCAATAAATTCAGAACGAAGAAGGTTCTTTGAATATGTAACCGAAGGAGAAAAATAATCGAAATTCATTGACCAGTGTGCGCCATTGGAGTTGCTGTAAGCCAGCTCTTACTCTGCAAGTCGCTATTTTTTTTATCATCTGCGCATAAAATAATCTCTCTCTTCATCGTAAAGAGAACAAACCAAACGTAAAAAAATCTGAGGTTTTGTTATTTTCTTTCTTCCAATGTTGTTTTGATGAAGTAATTATGATAAAAAAAATTAATAAAGTTGTTGCCTTTTTGTCCGTTTGTTGGTTCCTTTTCATTATAACAGAATCAAATAGATAGCGAAAGGAAGTACATGGAGAAAGGTAGATAAAGAAAGAGTGTGGATTTTAGCAGTTTTTGTATTTTTCTAGGGTATTGAAGGGTCCGCTTTTCGTGGTGACACTTTCTATTCTTTCCTTTTCCTCCCTTAGAAATCCTTCAGTTTCCTTCTTTATAACGGGGAGAAGCTGAAATTTTCAAACCCAAATCTTTTGCTGAAAGAGAAAAACAAAGGTTTTGATTTCGATGCTGTGGTGCTCGAATCTATGGTGAGTTTAGGCTTTAGTTTGTGGTGATTTTATATCCATATTAAAGAGAAAGATCCACGCTGAGAAATTAAATCTCTTATTTGGAAAGTATATGTAATTTGATTCTCTCGAAAATCTATTTACGATAGGAAAAAGTTTTGAGTCTTCTACTCATTCTTGGATAGGTGTAAAAGGGTCTGTATTTCATTTTTATTCTCTATGATCAGTTTTGGGGTTCTGTTTGCATTAACAGCAGTTTTGGTAGTAACTAAACCATAAAATGACCTCCTCCTGTTTCCTAGCCAATGTTTAATTCTCTACTCCTCTCTCTTGCTTTTGTATGCCTAACCTCTCTCTCTGTGTGTACATGTGCATATAGATATGCACATCGCATACATAAATTCCTAGTAGATTTTTGCTTCTTTTAGTTCATGCTATTGCTATTAATTGACATGTTTTGGAGTTGCTTGCAGAAGCTCGAGATGGAGAATTTTGGAGAGAGGGGTTTTATGAGTTTTGATAGTGGTTTTATGGGGAGGGCAAGGGAGGATGAGAGCAGGGATGGAAATGATAACTTGGAAAATGCATCAGGTTATGATCGGGAGACCCCTGGAAATGGATCATCTAAAAGAAAGAAACATAATAGACATACTCCATTTCAGATTCAAGAACTCGAGAAGTATGTTTATTTATTTGTGTTTGTTTGATTCTGTTAATCTTGATGCTTGCTGATTTTATATGATCATATAGTTCTTTCAAGGAGAATCCACATCCTGATGAGAAAGCTAGACAACAAGTTGGCAGGAGACTAGGCTTGGAGGAGAGGCAGGTGAAATTTTGGTTTCAGAATAGAAGAACTCAAATGAAGGTAATTTGTAATTTAGTCCTTCTATGTGGATTCCACTTAATTTTCTGTTGAAAATTGGTTTGATGAATGATTGAACTGATTTAAATGCAATGATTCAGTCCCAAGTAGAACACTATGAACATAAAATTCTGAAACAAGAAAATGACAAGCTCCGCATTGAGAACATTGCTATGAAGGAAGTCATAAGGAACCCTATTTGTCCCAAATGTGGTGGCTCGGCACTTCTTGGCGAAATGCATATGGAGAATAACCATCTTATACTTGAGAATGCACGGTTAAGGGATGAGCTCAATCGGCTTGGAGTCCCAGAAAACAATTTCATGTCTAGGCCACTGCTGTCCTTGGCTAACCCTATGCCTCCCATAATGGGCAACTCGGGATTGGATCTTGCGGTAGGAAGAAATAGCTTTGGTAGTTTAAACTCCATGGACTCAGAATTGCCTACAGGACTTGATTTTGGTAATTGGGTGACCGGTGTTGATGTTCCCTTCAACAAATCAATGTTTCAAGACCTTGCATTGGCTGCCATGGATGAGCTGATCAAGCTAGCCCAGCTAGATAGTCCTCTGTGGTTCAGAAGCTTGGATGGTAGTCGAATTTTGAACCTCAAGGATTATGCTAGCACAATTTCTCCCTGCATTGGCATGAAACCTGATCATTTTGTAACTGAAGCAACATATGCAACTGGTACTGTCATTATCAACAGTGTGGCACTTGCGGAGACATTAATGGATACAGTAAGTTCTTCAATTTGTAGTGTAAATATTATGTTACTAGTACTTTGTTTATTTTTCAGGTCTTATTTGGTTAATTCATTATTATTCTTTGGTAATGCTTCGAACCATTTCCATTTCTCAACAATGTTTAATTCTAAGGGTCCATTTGATTGCAAGAATGGAATTTGGGTGGAAAGAAAATGAATTCCAAGGAATTGAATTACTTAGAATTTTTTTCCTGAGAATTTTCAATTAATTGCATTTGATTAGTATAATTTTCCAAGTGGAAAATATTGAAATTTTGGATCTTTTGGTGTTCGTTTG